TTAATAATAATAATAATAATAATAATAGCTTACACTTATATAGTGCTTTTCTGGACACTCCAGTCAAAGCACATTATAGGTAATGGGGATCCCCTCCACCCCCACCAGTGTGCAGCCCCACCTGGACACATGAAGTTCAAACGAACGGACTGCCATTGCAGGGCAGCTGATGGGCGGAAGTGGTTTTTCAGACGCTCTGGTGCCCCATTGCTTATCTGTGCTTTTTTGCTGAAGTTCTAGATTTGCTGAGCTCATTCATCCTTCAAATAAAATCGTAGAAAACCACTGATTTGTTTTCTGCTGAAGCTTGGGAAGGATAACAATGTCAAGGCACTCTCACGCAGCTGTACGATTACAGAATTTCATTACAGAATTAGCCGAATGAGCAGGGATGGGGGACCCTGGGCAGGTTCAGACAGACTCGGTCTTGTAAGAAACAATCAGACACTACATCCACAGACAAGATCCGGGAGGAGGTCGAATCCAGAAACCAGCAAGGGAATTTGAGGAGAAAACATCAAAAAGTGGAGGAACGGAAAGAGGAGAAAATAATGGAAGAAAGAAGGACAAGAGCAGGGCTACAAATACAAGAATCAGGGGGGTAACAGTCTAATGCTCAGGCCAGAGGTTAAGAGACTGGACGCTGAAGTGAATGAGAGCACTGAATATATAGAGCTGGGCTAGGGGGTGTGCACTCTTAGGTACACTGGTCAGTCTGTGATTGACTAAGACTTAATGCAGCCGTCTGCGTGGTCTGCGCCTCTGCTGCGCAGCTGGGCCAGCAACCAGTGCTGGAGTCGCCCTCTGGCGGCGAGGAGCTGGAACTGCAACACCAACTCCACCCTGCGGCTATCCCTTGCTTCACAACGTTTGAATGGGGTTCCAGCCAGCTCGCCCTATGGTCACAAGGCTACCCGATAACCAAGCAGGTTAAGGCAAACGTATCTCACCAAGTAGTCCAAAAATTCGCAAAGCATTCAGCTCTTGGATGTGGTTGTTCCTAGAGAAATTTGGATAAGCACATTTGGACTCCTCAAGTGATCCCACTACAAATACATGCTTAGCTGATGGAAAAAATGAATCCACTGTCTGATTATGTTTGTAACAGCACAAAGGAATTCAAAGTCCCTAGCCTAAAGTTTTGACTTCGTCACCGTCACCGACACTGTCACCGTAACAAATATGAGGATTGTTTCAGTCTTTGTTAAGTATGAAGTCTTCATTGAGTGCAAAGTCTGTGTATCACTTTGTTTCTCTGGCATGCTGAAGAAACATACCAGCAGTCCTGTTTGTTATGTTAGCTGTTGTAGCTGCTGTTGACTGAGACAGTAACGACAAAACTGGTCATGTCACACCAAGTCTGGCTTCCTAGCATTTTTCTTTCTCAAAACACACATTTTCAGTACAAAATTATATCTAAGTATTTTTGGTTCCTGTTTGCAGTGAAAGCCCAAGAACCTGCACTTCTGGAATAATAATAATTAATAATAATTGCTTACACTTATATAGTGCTTTTCTGGACACTCCACTCAAAGCGCTTTACAGGTTATGGGGACTCCCCTCCACCACCACCAGTGTGCAGCCCCACCTGGATGATGCAACGGCAGCCATAGTGTGCCAGAACGCTCAACACACACCAGCTCTCAGTGGGAGGAGAGCAGAGTAATGAAGCCAATTCATAGAAGTTTCCTTTTGAAAAATAAACACAAAGTATATTCCCCCAACTAACCAAGGGCCATATAAGGGTTTATATGTAGCAATGTGCAAATGGGGAGTTTACTGTATGGAGTGTGTCGAAATCAGTCAGTAAGGTAACAACCACATGGTGGAAGATGGAAAAATAACACCACTCACAGCACTTACAGATAAGGAAGTGAGACTGCTTAATGTGCAAATGTCACAGGAGTTGCAGAGATGCTGCCACCTATAGCTATATTTAAAATGTAAATAAAATCAAGGAATGTCAATCATTTTACCAGAAGCTCTGAGGATCTCATCTAACTGCTTCTTGAAAGAAGCCAAGGTATCAGCCACAACATGGCGGAGTAGGTTGTCAAGACTCCTTTGTGTGAAAATGTGCCTCTTGTTCACTTCCGCATATTTTCCACGATTTGTTTTATTTTGTATTTCACAGTTGAATCTGAATACATATGTGCATGCTGGTACCTTTGAGGTTTTCTATACTTGTTTCCCCCATCCTGGGCTCAGCTCAGCTTGATCATCCTACAACCCCTGTTACTGCATAAAATAACTTTCATCTCACATATTCAAAAGGTCAGTGATGACAGTGTTCAATTCGCACTCTTCATTCAGTCCAACATCTGCCTGAGCCAGCTCTTCCAAACTAGAGTCCTCCAATTTTAACATAATTTTGTAGAATTACTTGCTCAGCCTGACCTAAAACACCTCTGGCTGTCAGAATTCTTAGGTGAGCAATGTGGGCTTCCAGCAGGTGACACGTTGGCTGTTTTTTAAGGTGTCACATCAGAGAGGACTACACCATGTGACTGATCCTGCTTATCTGTTATTGTGCTTGCGTTTCATAAGGTGGTGGCCACTTTTGTGTCTCGCAGCAATGACTCATCTTTAGAGCTAGATGTTATTGAAAGACAATTGTATCCTTCATACAGAAGTTCTAGATGACTATTGTCTGCTCTCAGTTCATCTTGCTGCCATAAGCTTCCGTTACAAAAATATGAGAGACCGGTACATTCTTCCGAGGAGTGAACTTCACAGGAGAATGAATACTTCTACTGAATGAATGAATGAATCTACTCTGAACAAGCTGCAGTATGTCCAAAATTCAGCAGCCAGAATCCTGACCAGGTCTAGT